CCCATCAAGGTGTTCAGCCACAGCCAGTACCGGAAGATGTGGAGGATCAAGAGGACGGTTTTGTGGGTCATGGTTGGTGGGCTACCCCAACCTGACGGTTTCTGAAAGCTTGTTTGAAGCTGCTTCAAAGGACTCGAGCAAGGCATTGAGAAGAAAACATCCAATGGCTAAAAATATTGTATAATAGTGTGTATGTATGTATATATATATATATACACATTGTAACTTGATGAGATTGACGTGTCAAAATTTGATACGTTGTTTGTTTGTTTGTTTGATTGATTGATTGTTTGTTTGTTTGTTTGTTTGTTTTTACCACGCATCCGAACACAGCTCCACACGCATGTTTGCTTGCAGGAGATTGCTAGACAAGCCTTGCTGGCTGAGGAGGACACAAATTTCATCTTTCAATACCGTTCAACTCCCTGACCATGTGCTTCCATGTCAGGGTCTGACACCTTAGCCAGAAGACTATCCCGCAGATTTCCAGCAGACATTTGCTGGTTTGTCGGTAGTAGTTGATCTGGAGGAGAAGAAGAGACAGAAAGCAGCGGCAGAGTTGGCAGCCCTTGAGGAGAAGATGGTCTTCATGCATCTTGCCATAGAAGTTTAAGTGTTGGATGTTTCGTTGGATGTTTCAGGTGGATGTTTCAGGTGGATGTTTCAGGTGGATGTTTCTTTGTATTCTGAAGCCTCCACAAGCGCACAGGAAAACTTGGGAAAGCCAGCAACATCAAGCATCCCTGTGAGTAGAATATGTTCCAACAGTTCCCTAGAACATGTTGGATATGGTTCTGCTATGTTCTGCTAGGTCGTGAAGTTTGTCATTCAAAGTTGTCTATGTTTTTACAGTCGCTTCATGTTTTTTCTGTGCCAAGTTCTCCTGGTGAATCCTTTCCGAGGATGACCGGCGCCAAAGGCCCCAAGGCATCGGAGGATACAGATGCGGCAGCAGCAGAGGTAGAGCAAACTCCGGTGGATGACACGGATCCTCGTTTGGGTAACGTTTAGTTTCACTTATCTAGATGTGGCTAGGAGAAAGGACGATTAGTTACTTGAGACATCTTGAGACATCTTGAGACATCTTGAGACATCTTGAGACTTCATTGCATCAATTGCAAATCTGCTCCCCAACGATCCACCAAACATGACGCCCTCACAGTAGCGCCTTCGACCATTCTCGAGTCGCCCACAAATCTGGTTAGACTTCAGTGGCTTCGGATTGACTCTTCCCACGGAATGTGTCACAATATCAGACAGTCTGTTCAGTCCACTTCTTGCTGTTGGTTCTACAGAGATTCGAAGTTATGTGAGGTTCCCCCTATAAGAGAGAGATCACCGGCCAGATTTCTACCCAGGAAGAACAGGAGCTTCAGGAAGACGATGTGAAGAGCTACATGCCAAGTGGGGATGATCTCCCTCCACCTCGGAAGGCCCTGGATGATGAACTGCTGGTCACCATTGAGATGTTGATGGAAGCCTACAGCTCTTTGGCAGATGCTGAAGAATTAGGCCTGGAAATAAGGGGAACGGTCAGAGAGTCAGTTGCTTGCATGGAGAACATGTGATCCCAGAACAGGAAGCCTTGCTGCCATGAAGTATGGCAAGGGTTGTGCTTTGCTACGGTCTTTTTCCATTATATAAGAGTTAAACTCGTTTCAAGCGTTCTTTAGGATGAGGTTTGAAGACGTGTCCTGTAATCATGTTGGGCTATGCATACAATAAGTGGATCATGATGATTCATGAACTGGAACTTCATCGTTTTGTTTTTTCTAGTGTTCCCTTGGCAGCCCATTCATTTAACAACCATGGTGTTTAAAGCAGATCTGCTTGGATGGTCACCGCAACCCAAGGTGAGAAAACTGTTGAAGGTCAAGAGCTGTTGGCCTCTTGGCCGCGTTGAATCTGTTCCCTTGGATTCAAACTCGTCAGTTTCATTAGGGATACCCCTGCCATCATCATGTGAGATGTGAATATGGAATTCAGCTTCATCACATATTATATATAATATAATATAATATACTATAATATAATATAGTATAATATAATATAATATATAATATATATATATAATATAATTAAATTACATTCAATGGTTTGACCATTTCACTTGCGACTTGCCTGACTGACTAAACCAAGATGCTGTGAGCATGGAGAATCCCTTCAAGCCTTCAAGCCTTCCTGTGTTTGCTTGACTGTTCAGTCTTGGATTCATGTTGGCAGCTGGTCCCGCCACATTCTCCAACGCAGATTGAACGCTCAGGAACCCTTCAATGAATTGCTGGAGGTTCTGAGAGACAGCCAAGAGAAGACGGACCAAGAAATCAAGGCCAGTTTTGGGCATGGCGCCACAAGTTGTTCATGATCGGTGAGTTTTCATTATTTTGTTTTGCCATGCAAGGCATGCAAAATGTAGTTGAGCTTCCATGGTGCTGTAATTTGCTCAGGAGGTCCTGACGGAAGTCATTGGCGTTATCCGAGAGGAGCCATACAGTAGACACTGCCATAGACACTGCCATAAACACTGCCATAGAAACTGCCATAGACACTGCCATAGACAATGCCATAAACACTGCCATAGACACTGCCATAGACACTGCCATAAACAATGCCATAGACAATGCCATAAACACTGCCATAGACACTGCCATAGATGCTGCCATAGACACTGCCATAGACACTTCCATAGACACTGCCATAGACACTGCCATAAACACTGCCATGGACACTGCCATAGACACTGCCATAGACACTGCCATAAACACTACCATAAACACTGCCATAGACACTGCCATAAACACTGCCATAGACACTGCCATAGACACTTTCATAAACACTGCCATAGACACTGTCATAGACACTGCCATAGACACTGCGATAAACACTGCGATAGACACTGCCATAGACAATGCCATAAACACTGCCATAGACACTGCCATAGACACTGCCATAGCACTGCCATAGACGCTGCCCATAGACAATGCATAAACACTGCCATAACACTGCCATAGACACTGCCATAGACACTGCCACAGACATTGCCATAGAAACTGCCATAGACACTGCCATAGACAATGCCATAAACACTGCCATAGACACTGCCATAGATGCTGCCATGGACACTGCCATAGACACTTCCATAGACACTTCCATAGACACTGCCATAAACACTGCCATGGACACTGCCATAGACACTGCCATAGACACTGCCATAAACACTGCCATAAACACTGCCATAGACACTGCCATAAACACTGCCATAGACACTGCCATAGACACTTTCATAAACACTGCCATAGACACTGTCATAGACACTGCCATAGACACTGCCATAGACACTGCCATAAACACTGCCATAGACACTGCCATAGACAATGCCATAAACACTGCCATAGACACTGCCATAGACACTGCCATAGACACTGCCATAGACACTGCCATAAACAATGCCATAGACACTGCCATAGACACTGCCATAGGCACTGCCATAGACACTGCCATAGGCAATGCCATGGACACTGCCATAGACACTGCCATAAACACTGCCATAAACACTGCAATACACACTGCCATAGACACTGCCATAAAAACTGCCATAGACACTGGCATAAACACTGCCATAGACACTGCCATAGACACTGTCATAGACACTGCCATAGGCACTGCCATAGACACTGCCATAGACAATGCCATAAACACTGCCATAGACACTGCCATAGACACTGCCATAGACACTGCCATAGACACTGCCATAAACAATGCCATAGACACTGCCATAGACACTGCCATAGGCACTGCCATGGACACTGCCATAGACACTGCCATAAACACTGCCATAAACACTGCCATAGACACTGCCATAAACACTGCCATAGACACTGCCATGGACACTGCCATAAACACTGCCATAGACACCGTTGGTGAAGCTACTGCAAAGAACCGGAAACTGACTGAGCTGCGGAAGGACAGTTTCTAAATACAATCAAGGCAGGACCAGGTAGGATGTGTGATGATGTGTGCAAGGTATGTTGCGTATATGTTGAATGTCGAGTGCCGTCAATTTCTGATGTCCCTCTTTGGTTGTACCATGTTGTACAACTGTTGTACCCATATTCGTTTCAATGTGGACATTTTCCCCCTCCGGCAATTGTTGTACTGGACTCCGCGGACGACCAATTGTTTGCGATCTGAATAAAAGGAGGGATGTTGTACAATCAGAGCAGGTATGATATTCGAAATATTCGAATACATTTTCAGACCGTGTTTTGTTGTGTTCTATTTATAGGTGCAGCCTGGTTTCGAGCACACACTTCTCTTGGCGCAGTGCGCTTCCTCCATTCCTGGTTTACTTGACAGGAAGAGTCCTGCTGACATACTCGTGGCCGCAACTGTCAAAATGTGAGATGATGAGACTTGACCTGATCATCTCATCAAACAACAATTGGTACATAGATCAATTATGACAGAGTCTGATATAGGATGATATAGGAAGATACTAATCTCCACCATTGTCTACCCGCAAGAAACGGTATCTTAGTGTTAGCTTTGCAGCCGGTGTATGCAGGGATTGCAGTGTGGAAACTCCTTTGCTGCAGGAGAGCAGCGATAGTGATAGGTGAAACCCGGTGGAACCCTCTCCTCTCTATGTCCATTTTGTGTCTCTTCGCATCATCAGCTATCAAAAGCAATCATTTGCCAAATATTGGTCACTACATATATCTTCTCTGGGAGAATTTGTCATCCCCTCAATGCCATTCGTCATCCACTGCACTCACCAGCACCAAGGAGGCAAGTGGCACCACCAGAGCGCTGCCTGTTTTGTGGCCGCGTTTGGTAGCTTCCCGTGCGTCGCGACGGCAAAAAAGGAGATTCTGGATGTTCAGAAGACAGCTGACATATGCTTTACCAGTGGTGGATCAATGAACATGTTTAAATTTGTTTAATCATCTTTGGGCCGACATGTTGGCTTGTTGTAGAACACCTTTAGCCCCCGCGTACAGGTGAATCAAGCCTGTGGTCCAGCGAGGAGGAGGCGATCGATGGATTTGATGAATAAACTGGTGCAACAAATAGATGGCAACATTTCTGAAGGAACGTTAGCAAAACCCACGATCCGCAATTCACCAATTCACCAACGACTTGAGACCATTTATATATATATAAGCATGTACAAGGCCGCGCTCCTGAACACCAAGTTTGATTGCAAGCCTCAAAGCGCTTTCAATGACTAGCTTTTGTGGATGTGTGGTCAGATCATGTCAGGATCAGTTTGTTACATTTCAGATTTGTTTCTTACAACTTCGGTAGACAGCCAATCAATGAAATGACATCTGTGCTTATCTCAAAGTCATGTTTCAATTGTCCATTCATTCCAGAGACCATTCGGCCATTCTTGTTTCTCAGGAGGTGCAGGTGAACCACTCGGCCAAGGTAGGACCAGATGCGTCTCTTGTCCACCTGCTTCTTACAGATTTGTTTCTTCAGCACCATGACTAGGACAAGGGTTAAGCCTTTCGGTAGACCTCCTTGAGTCACTTGGTGTGGTGCCAGTTCAGGTGCCCTACTTCAAGACGAAGCTGGACATCCGGCCAGTGGTGGATCACACGGTGGGATTGCCTGCCCATGTGTTTGTGGTTTCTCTTTGCACCAATCCGAAAGTTTGTTTTGCAGCTGAAAGTCCGTAACCCCATATTTGAACTGTGTACTTGAGTAAATTGCAAGTGAGTGGACTTGGATCTCTTTCTCAGCAGAACATTGGATTTAATCAATTTGCCAATGTTCTTCATGCAAGAGGCCTTTCAACAGGCAGCTTCACAGCCGGTATCCAAGAAGACCCGCCCATGCTGTTCACAAGACAGCAGGCAATTATCTTCATGACGGGTTCAAGCATGGAATTGATTGGTTGGGACATTCCTTGCTCATTGCTCCACGGTATTCTGCGTGCTCAGGCAAGGCCCGTTTGCACGGATAAAGAAGTTTCCGGACCTGGGGGTGTATCAGCAGGAATCCTAGCAGTTGAAGGGTATCGATGCAATCGGATGCACGAGTTTTGGCCATGTGGATATTTCAAAGATCAATGGCATGGTTCATAACTCTTCATAGCTGTATGCTATTCTATCGTGGTCAGTTGTATTCGTGTTATGAACGAAAACCATCCCATGCTGGGCATTTAAACGGGGTGTACCAAGGGTTGATCCTCCAGCTGGGCATCTACAGCAAATCTCAGGCCTCAGCTGTTCATCTCGGATTTCTGGCTACTGGAGAAGGTGGTGAACTTGGAGAACTTTGGAGTTGCTTTGGAAAGCAATGGCAGCAATGGGTAACTATAAAAGATTATAAAAGTATATATTATATAATCGTATATGTATAGATACATAAATTACAATGAAACTCCAGCAAAGTCCATGTGGCGAAGATGTTTTGTTGTTGATCAAAGTACAGAGATGTTTTATATGGCGAGATGTTGTTCCCAATTTGGAGTTCCATTGAAGACATTTCAAAACAAATGGTGCTTGTCAAGCCTTGCCAGCTAGTTAAACGCTTTCCACACGTTTCAGACTGAGAGGGAGGGACCTTGAAATGGCGTTCAAGCAGAGTCTTTTCATGTTGAAGCAAAAACAGAAGAACATTTTCTATAGAAACTCACTCAATGAAACGGAACATACGTTCATAAATCAGAACAGTGGACTGTGTGGTGATGTGCAAGGACTACCTTGAGTTGAATGAGACTTCACAGAACAGGAGCTTTGCTCAAACTCACCGGACTTCGCTCGGTTTTGGAAAATTCAGGGATGGTTTAGTCCTTACATTTGCCATGGTGTAGAAGAATGAGTTACCCTGGGACCCTGTTACACCTTGCAAAACATGTCTTGTGTTGAATACTCGTAAGTGCGGCTATTATCCAACAAACATATTGCAATCCATGCAATCCATGTACACATTCTGTGCTCCTCAGTCTTCAAGTGGATTTTGGCAGTGGCAAAAGATGCCACATGATGGCAAACAGAGCCGAGGTTGTTCTCAGTCAGTCAATTATCTATTCATAACCAAAGACACTCAGAGTCTTATCGTGGGATTGTTTCACTGTGTGCGACACACTACCCAATGCCTTCTGATGATTCTGACGAGAATCACAAAAGCAGCATATATTCTCGTGAAATGACGCCAGTTTTAGCATTGATCCACGCAGAATCCACATAAGCCTATATAAGCCTGCCATCCGAATCGCTTATTAATTGTAGTGAGCGTGGTAGTATTTGTGCTGTTTTGGCATTTCCGCTTAGCTTGTGATCGTCCCCCCCTTGTAAACTCATCGTTGACTGTTCATTGAGATCTATTTTGTGTTTATATTTCTGTGTATTGCAGTGGCAGGACGCTAAACCTGACTCTTTCCTACAGCGCGGCACTTAATTGAAGGCGGATTCAATTGACATCTTTAAAATACAATTTCCTTTCTACAAAGGGCACAATGAAAAACCATCCTCCATGATCGACCTTCAACATGCACCTTCAGATGATCAACCGACACTGGACCATGACTCGATCAAGGTGCTGTGAGCCTCTTTTCCTGGAGCATCCAGGTGCAAAAAACATGTTGCTTGATGCTTTTTGGATGGGATAGTTGATACATGTTGATAGCTGTTGATACCTTTAAGCCTTTGATTGCACCATGGCAATCGTGGCACCATCAGGTGCAGATGGCAGAACAATGGATGCAACAGAGCGAGTATGGCCTTACAGACACTCAGCGTGATTCGCTGGGAGCCCCGGGATTAGTTTGCTGAAAGTCACTTGGACCGTCTGGATGAACATGGATGAACTATGATAAAGTACAAGTCACAATTCGGCGCCTCTAAAAGCTGTCAAGTTGGATTGCAATGGATGTGTTTCAGCAATGAATCTTGAATGATCAGGACTTAGACTTACTTTAGTTGTAACGTAGTAGTTGTTAAGAAGAGAGATTCCAACAATGTGGTTTCTCAAGGTGAGGACTTAGAACAAAAGATAAGGGAAAACTGATGAAAACTGGTTTCAGGTTCATGCTCAAGCGACTCTACCTGGATCCTCGGATGCATTACCATGCATTGCAACATGGTGGAGGGATGTGGAGGGCAGTATTGGGTCCAGTGGCGCCCATCGAGGCAGATAGCCAGCTCTAAGGACACCAACCCCTATTTCCTGGCCTTCAGTGCCGCCTTCATCATCCTGCATTCGGTACCCACCTCCGTTGCCATTGTTTGCAACTGGAGCTGTTGCAGTCGGAACATGTCGGAACATGTTTCGCATAGAAAACAGCTTCGAACACAAAGCTTCAGTTCAGAGCAGTCCATGTGATCTCCCAATCGCTTCTCTTTTCTTGCTCATTTTGGAGGGCGGAACCATTGAAGGGCTAGCCCTAACCCAGGAAGAGGTTTTCAGCAGCTATCACGTGTATTCACTGGTCACTGGTATACTTCTGCATCTTCTTTTTGCTACCCGCTATAAGCAGAAGGTCGAAGGTTTTCGCAAATAACCTGTGCTTCAAACCGCTGACGGCAACAGATACATTCAACTATAGCTCCACTCGATTTCTCCTACTCTGGGTTTGCCTTTAGAAAGAGTGGCAAACCTGGGTTTTGTGTATGGTCTTTGGTGCAAAGGCCGTTTTGCTCTAATGATACCAAGCAACAGACGACAGCAACAACCAAACGATTTTGAATGCTTCGGCCGAACACCTTATGCAGCCATGGGCAAGCGTGGAAAGGCCGGTTCGCATGGCAAGCGTCTCTAGCCTGCAGGAAATGGAATCTCAATGAATTTCGATCAGTTGTGGTTATACATATTCTATCATATTCTATCATGTTCTATCATATTCTATCATATTCTATCATATTCTGCTGAAGGGCTTTTCTGACCGTGGAGACTCTTTGTTGTATTGTGTACCTCCTGGAAATCAGGTTGTCTTTTAACCTTTTGCTTGATTTTGAAAAATCCTGGAGTGGAGAAGGCCTTACAGACATTTACAATACAAGACTGGAGCTCAAAACTGTGTTGTCGCTGCTTCTATGGACATGTTGGTGGGATGAAGCGGTTAGCCGGGTGTTGTCGTCTTTGCTTGTATCCTTCTGTGATGTCCACCATTTTCTTGTCCCAAGACCTGTTAGAGCTGAATGAGACATAGACCCCCGTGGTCCTGAGGAAGCAAATCAAAGAGCAAGGGCAAGGGCAAGGGAAAAGGTGGCGCTGCCGGCTCGTATTAGATGGCCACACCCAGTTTCTTGCGCGTTTTGGAACGGCGAATAGATGCCAGGTGAATGAATGCAACGGACTGCAGATGTAGAAGTAAAGAAGTTCCACAACAAAATTCAAAGGGGCTAAACTCTTTACAGGTGACTAACCAAATTGCTTCATCGATGATATTCTTGTAGGGCGTGCTGTTTGGCAGTGACCCCACAGGAGCCGCAGGTGTGAAGAAGGGCAAACTGAAGGCAGATCCAGGCGATTTCTGTAACTGGGGGGTGCTATCATTTCCGGCTGACATTGTATCTCGAGTCTGAAGAAGTGATCTATCCTGATCATTCCTGATACATGACGAGCTTCTGACTTCTTGACATTGGCTCTATCCAAACAGCCTTGGTACATCTTGGTACCAATGTGGCAGTTTTTGATACCAGCTTCGTGCTGCTTCCAGAAAGAACGTTGGTTCAGGTGCCAAAGGCTCCAAGAAAGGAAATGCCAAGCCCAAAGGTCACGGGTTGTAGCTGAATCCAATTCGGTTGAGGGTCACTTGAATGGAAGAACTGAAACCCGGGCCTTGCACAATGTTCATACTGATCGCCTAATTTTCCGCTATTTGTTGCAAGTTCTGTCATGTGTTGGTGACTCCCCACACGTTCAGTGATGGATGCAGGTGTACTCTGCCTTTGCTTGGGGCTTTGCACACATCAAGTTAAGGTTTTGATTGAAGCAATTTCCACCCAGCACTGCACGTGAAATGTTTTTTGAGCTCCAGAATTGACTTGCTGTAGAAATATAATTGTGCTGCAGTGGGATCAGCAATATTGATTCGATGGCTTTGAGGTCTGCTAGAATCCGGTTTCCATCCAAAAGCTCTAATGATTCAGCCAGCCCTTGCCAGGTGGAGGCGGCAAAGGTGGTGGCAAAGGTGGAGCGAAAGGTGGTGGCAAGGCGAATCTTGCTGTGTTTTCCTGACGGTTGACCAATGGGAAGTTTAGGCATGCTATTCTGCAAGGGGAGGTACTAAACTGAACTATTTGCTAGGTCAATTCGCACTTGGTCGACCTCCTCCGTACCAACTGCAGCCAATTATGTTGTTTTCACGCGAGCCATCATACTTCTAGCTGCAATAGTGCGGCTTTCAAATGCTTCATGTTTTACATATTCTCCACGGTACGTGCCAGAGGGTACAAATTTCAGCAAGATCAGTCTTGTATGATTAGAATTTTGACTGAAGGCACCGAAAAGGCACCAGATTTTCAGATTGTAGCTATTTCTGAGGAAACAAATAACAATACGTATAATAAGCAACGTCTTTCGATCCAGTAGCATGCATTGGACAACGAGCTCCAGTTGCACTTCTCACCGGGTATCCCGGTGTGAATGTGTCGGAACAGTGGCTTATGCTGTGAAGATAAGCATCGCACTCTGTTCAGGACGGCGACAAGAAAGGCGGGGTCGATGACGCGGGGTTCTGTTTTGTATTAATTTTCTGAGCGCCATGAAAAATGCCTCCCATCTTCCAGCCAATTATATACTCCATTGCTCCATTTTTGGAGCGGGAAACCTTTGGATGAAGTCGTGGTCCAAGTTTAGCCCAAAGTCGTTTGGTGACTGGTCGAGCAGTTTCTCTAACGATTGCTATGGTTAGGAGCTTCTGAGTTCTCCACGCTGATTATGCTTTATTGCAACTGTATCCGTTGTGACATTTGGCACAAGCAAATGCGGCTTTACATTCGCGTATATATGATTGTCGATCTAAAGGTCAACGTGGAGATTGTCCATTACAAAGGCCGCCAGGGTTCCAACATGAGACCACGCGAAAAGTTTGTCTGAGTTCGCGTTTTTTTTTTTGCGAGAGTTTTAGGACAGATGGGACAAGTCCAGGACGTGATGACTTGCTAGAAGAGATGGTCAAACACTTACTATAGGTGGTTAGGGGTGCATCTTAATGGGCAATAGCGCTAGTAAGCGCCAGGTATATATGTTTTTTGATTGCATAGGCCATTTGTTGTGTGTTTCTTTTGGGATTATGAATTAATACTATCTGAGTCCTGGCAGGGTGGCCCCGGATAGAGATAGACTTGGCAGCTCATAGCCGTCATAGCCCTGATGACATCGCACGTTCTGTGTCTCCATGGCGTGCGCGGCGTGCGCTGCCGTGTCTTTGCTCTTCGAGGTGCCTAGCGGCCGATGTGGTAGACACTGGAAAATTATATCATATGGTTATATTGGTTATACTGTATGTCTAGCCACTAGTATGTGGCTATGCAATGGTTTTTGTTCCTTGATGCTAGTTTATTGTTTGTGAGTATGAATCTGGCACAGCAAATGAGTATATTTTCAGTGAGCTTGTCATCCAGGAATCCTCCGATATCGTCCGATCATCTCTGCACAGAAATCCAAACACTTGCGAAACTCGTCAGGCCAGCGAACTTTTAGTGGCCTGTTGGGTGGCTTTGGCGATGCAAGCGATATGATTGGAGATGTGCCAAACAAGAGGCCGTGAATGGGGATATTGGAGGACAGATGGGTGGGGGTGATAGAATGGTGATGGTGCTGATATGCTTATAGAGTTCGGTTTAATGCAGGTGCACAGCATTTTGAAGTCTGCTTTGAAGTTTAAAGGTTTGTTTATTTTGAAGATTTACAGCAACATACATTTATTATTAATTTATTAGCCATTTTATGTTTTTTCGAATCAGATGGCTGAACAAAATTCAAGTCAAGTATCAGAAGGCAGGACGGAAATTCTATGTTTTGATATCTCCCACAGTCGTGTCCGCCCCTGCAGCCAGGGATGCACAGCTGGCAGAGGTCTTGGGTTTTGTGAAGAAAGGACCGGTCGAAGATCAGAAAATTGGACAAACCACAACTGTGAAGAAGACAAGTATTCGTCAAACTTGAAGGTTACCCCCCCGCACTCATCCACAACTTCTAGTGTTTGGAGGCTGCAAGAATGGACTCAGCAATTGGGTTCAATCTCCTAACTTGTAGAGACCATGTTGGGAATGTTTGGGGTGCCCACATGTTCAATGGCCATTTCAGGAACCTAAATTGGAGGTACCTACGCCCATATAAGGCCTATGTAGAGGCTATGTAAGGGGATATCCCCACAAAATATGGCCTTATATTGGTAATTACAGTACCTCCATTTTAGGATCCTGAAATTCACATTGACATTTTGGAATCTATTTGGTTGCAACAAGGGAACTGGATTCTTGAAGAAAATGCATGCAACAAGTCCTGTCGCTTCTTGGTTCATTCCGGCTACTAAGATGACTTCGGTGTTTTCGGACTTTTTGCTGTCACATGAGCCGAGCAATTCTCCTGAAGGCCACATATTCCTGAAATGAACTGTGTTCCTGGCAGCAGGTGTTCCATTTTCTTTGTCCATTCTCTTACACCTTCTGAAAAGGCTTCTGACTGGGTTCGGACTTAAGCATAATTATGCAGATTTCTTAAGATTCCTAGCACCCTATGTCTGCAATAGGAATTTGTGGTTTTTGAACTTCCTTGGTCGATGTTCTGTTTCATAGTTCGTTTGATCATCAGTCGCCTTGGCAGGACGGATGGATCGCGCCCTTCAACTAGCTGCACCTTTGGCTGAAGCTGTCGATGCTGCACCAGCGCAGTTCTTGGCAGAGCAGTGTTCACAGCGTGCAGCAGATGCTCGGCTATAGCTATTACAATCTCTGCAGCTATGACTTAGTGTCCAAAAGATCGCGGGTCCTAGATGATAACACAACTGTCTGCTACGAATGTCATTTTGTTATGTTTGTTGAGACATTTCTCATGTTCATATTTTGTTGGTGAATTTCCAATGACATTCAAAGCATTGTAGGAATCAAGGATCCTTTTCTCCCATTGCAGATATCTCTCGAATCAGCATTTGTTGGCCTCACAGCTGCAAAGAAGTGGATTTGAGGCAGCCTATTGCAACAGCAAAGAGGCTCAGGAGATGGCTGTGCAGCTGGTGGTGGCTGGAACTACCTTCG